GTTTTTTTCTCTAGCATCATCTCCGCTTCATTATATTCCTATGATGTAAGAGAGTTTGCTATAAAAAATAGCCATAATATGAAAAGTAACGCCTACTTCCAACACAAATCTTAATCGGCATTGCGATGCGAACAGTATGTGACAACGCACGCAGGGACAAAAAAATTGTTGCATTATTGCAATTGTACTTGATCTTACCTGATTCGGGGGCTGAGATTTTATATTCAGAGGCTAACAGCGCACAAAATCGTCGATTTATTTTTTAAGTATGACAGTTATTTTTTTTTCCAAAATGATCAATAATTTACTGTATATGAAATACAGTAAATTATTGATCAAATGTTTTATAATAGGGGGTGGGGAGAATAAATTATTTATAAGCCACTTTTGGAATTAGTTGTAGCAATTGTAAGTTTCATTTCAGTTTGCGTAGAATTTAAGAAAACTTTTCCCGAATCCTAAGTTATAATTCATTCTAAGATCTGCATGATACGAAGTTGTAGTAGAAGAAAGATGTTATTCGGAAAATTGCTTTTAACAAAATGAAATCTTAAATTTAATGATCACTATTTGAAAAAATAAATTAACTAGATTAAAATAAATCAAATCAAGACAAACTGAGCTTTCGAAGATCTTATTCGTTTCGATAAAAACAAATAATAAATCAACTAATCGTAAATCTTAATATTGAAAATATAATTAAAATGTATTTATATCATTCTGAAATCTAGAAAGGGATAAATCTAGTTTAAATTTTCCCTACATTCTGAGTGCAAATTTTCTTCTGTGTCAGCATTCGCCTTTGTTTAATTCTTTCGAGGCAGAAATCGGTTAGAAATGCAGAATTTGCTTCACCTCATTTATTTTAAACATAATAATACTAATGCAGTTTTGTCTTCAGCTCCTTGTCCTGGATAGCAGATTTGGTACTTTTCAAAATATATTTAAGCCTAAAACAAATACTTCGTAAATATGATAGCAATGTAAATGTCTTTATACCACAATATAAATATTTTAAAACTTATCAATATATCAGAAAATCTGAGCTTAAGTATGTTATAGCAATTGGCCAATAACAGATAAATAGTGGCAATATTTTCTGTATAGCATTTGCTGGAGGCATAAAACTTCTAGAAACAAATGCTGATTTGAATTAATGTGTTGTTACGGGAATGAAACTGAATTCTTGCGGAGATCATCTTAAGAATTAATTTTTACATTTCGAATGAATGCACCATTAGTAAAATTTGTGCAAGGTAGTGGGCGTTACTTTGTACATGCTATCAAATAGGGGTACACAATGAATAGTTACGCCTATTTTCTACACAGACCTCACTTTAAACGTCAAACATTCAGTATGCGAAACGGCACGTAAAATCATGAAAATTTCATTTTTCTCATATCTGCTAAGTACATACTATTAAAAATTGTAACATTTTGAGGAAAAATATTGATAGTTTATGACTTTTGGCATAAAAGTTAGATCAGAAATATTTCATGAAAATAATAATAAATAACGTACTTTAAATTTAATTATCTTACAAAAAATATATTACAAATTCATATTTATTTATAATATTATATCAAGTACCTAAATTTTGTGCAAAATCTTCAATTGAGAACTTTATTGGAAGAAGCAATTAAGTGACATTTTTGTGAATTTGAGTAAATGAGCTGAACTAAAATGTCTATACGTCACTTGTTTTTGTAGCTTTACTATCTTAACGTTTTTAGAATATTTACGAAGACATTACTACAATATTTTGGGGGGTATACTTATTTGTCCATAACTCTTTTACAAAGGGAGGAGTCTTGATAAGAATCTGTTTGTCTTCAAAGAGGAAAGGTTTAAACAATTCCCGGTCTGCATCAAGAGATTTCACGGCGGCCGCTGTAGGGCTTTCGCTGTGAAGCCTTTGGACACTCACAGAGTTCTTGTTCTGACAAACCCAGATGTATGAAGTGTGCCTATTCCTATCAGTGCAAGAAAAGTAAAGACTCTCCTGCAACGGCAAAAAAGCCCATATTTCCAACTTCTCTGGGTGCGAGGCCCGCCCCAGCAGAAAGAGCCTACAGGGGAAAAAGAACTGCCCAGCGTCATCAGCCTTCGGACTTGTCTTCATCGTAAAAGAATTACAAGACCTCCTGAAAAACGAAGTGCCCTGCCTTCTCCAATCCCTACTCAGAGACTTAACTTCCCTTCCTCCACTTTTTCATCTCGATGAAAGATCAGATATTTTTTTAGGATAGGTACTCTGAATAGTTAGTTGTCTAACATAAATATTTTCTTAAAAGAGAATGTTTAAAAAGGCTTGTCGGATTGTTGGTAAGATCCACGTTTCTGATGAGCTTGCTTTTTTATTGATACGATATGTAGATGTAGTTAGATAATAGAAATCTTACGTTACAGTTATCTGTTATGCAGTACAGGACAAAGTACTAAACAAAGGAAGTTTAGTACAGGAGGCATTTACCGATTGACAATGATATTTTAAGAGTATGTTTACTGAAATCTTTTTTAAGAATTAATTTTTAAATTTCAATAAAATGCACCATTGGTAAATTTTGTACATGGAAGCGTTATTATGTACTCGCTATCCAATAGGAGTACACCATAAGCAGTTACGCCTACTTTCTACCCAGACCTCACTTTAAACGTCAAACATCATTCGGTAAGAATTATAAGCGCTATTCAAATTGTGCGGAAAGGTTTCTTAACCCCTTGGGGACGGGTGATTCAGAAAAGCATTCGTACAAAATCAGAATCAAGTTGCAATTAAATAAAAAACGGTAACTTAAATGTAGTCGTTACTAATTTGACAGACTTACTTTGCTTTTATTTTAATTATTGTTAGTTTAATCATATATATAATCAATGTTAATTCAAAGTATAACTAAATAGTTTTATTTTGAACAAAGTAATGGTGAATTAAATAGATTAAAAAATTATAACTCCGCCCACAAATAAAGTGCTAAAGAAATACTTTGATTACCAGTTTTATCTTCTTACCCTGATTGATACGGACTTTTGCTGTCACGTATTTGTGACAGTCGGCGCGAAAGGGTTAATGGTTACAATAGGGAAAATTGATCAAAGTAATTTTTTTTAGTATGAGATTAAGACTTTTAGTGCATCTCCTTTAAATCTGTCTAAAACATAATCACCTAACTCTGTGCATTAAGATTTTTTTTTCATGTAGCCATTCTGATATAGTGAAAGACATGTTCCCCAGACTGAGATTTGTCATTTTGCTAAGAACTTTGAAAAATGAGGAAGAAATTATACTTTCCAAAAACACCATATTCAAAAAACAAATTTATATCTACCACTTTAATTAAAAATATCAAGCTATATCTATTTTAGTTACGAAATTTATTTGCGTTGACTGGTCAGGTATTCTATACTATAGTATATAACTTAAAGCATTTGCTGGAAGAATAAACAAACTCTTCTAGCGAAATGCGCAAGAAATAGATAGATATAGGAAAAGGAAACGTTCGGTACATGGAAGTGAGTGTTATTGAACCGGTTATCTAATAAGAAAGCACCATGAAAAGTAACTCCTACTTTCTATTCTGTTCAGACCTTACTTTAAGCGTGTAACATCATTAAAATTTCATTTTTCTCATATCTGCTAAGTACATGCTATTAAAAATTGTAACATTTTGAGGAGAAATATTGATTCTTTATGACTTTTGACATAACAGTTATATTAAAATTTTTTTGTAATAATAATAATAAATAACGTAGTTCAAATTTAATTATCTGCAAAATATATATTACAAATTTATAATATTACATCAAGTATCTACATTTCGTGCAAAATTACACAAAAATCATCATTTGAAAAATTCATTGGAAGAAGCAGTTAAGTGACATTTTTATGAGTTTGAGTAAATACGTCATTTGTTTTTGTTGCATTACTATCTTAACGTTTTTGGAATATTTGCGAAAGCATTACTACGATATTTTTGGGGGCATATTTATTTGTCCATAACTCTTTTACAAAGGGAGGAATCTTGCTAAGAATCTGTTTGTTTTCATAGGGGATTTATTAATTTCTTTTAACGAATATAATTTTGTTCCAAATGCTAAATTAAATACACATTCATTTAGGCTTAGATTCAGGAAATAAAATTTTAACAACCTCAATTGCGAACAAACTGGCATCAAGCCTTGTTAATCCATCTACTATAGTATACTACTTTTCCTACTATAATCCACCATTCAGTCGTCATTTGCTTACTAATCGCTCAAAATCGGTCGACTATAGCCGTTTTCAGAGTGTCTACTGCTTAAAAAAATCTTTCAGTGGTTCAAATCTTCAAATTTAAATAGTATTTCCTGATTATCAATCAAAGAATCATTGTGTTTTGAAAATTAGGTACCCCAAAAATCTTGAAAATAATCGCAAAAATTTTTTTTGTGATCGGTGGACACTCTGTCCCGCATATTTAAATAATAATAAAACAAAAAAAAAGCAAGAAGTGTACTAGTGCATTTATTTGTTATTTATTCGAAATTACTTCAAAAATAGGATTTAACATTCTAGATATAGCCTATCAAATGTTTTTTATTTGTTTGTTTAGGAAGTGAAAAAAAATATGACGAGTAAATAACGGTTAAAACTGTCGGGAGTTTTCATGGAAAATCTGTAAAAAAACATGATAGTTTTCATAGAAAATCTGTATCAAAACATCATAGTTTGAATGGAAAATCTGTAACAAAACATGATAGTTTTCATAGAAAATCTATTACAAAACATGATAGTTTTCATGGAAAATCTGAAACAAAACAAAAAACTTTCCACAGAAAATCTGTAACAAAATATGATAGTTTTCACTTCCAAACAATGAAATGACGCAAAATTTCATATGAAACTCATACGCAATTTTAAAAAAAATTATGTTTTTGAGCATGATCTTCAAATTAGAATTGTGAAGCAACGCGCTAAAAATTCTAAGTTTCCTTTATTTTTGTTGTATATAAATTAGAATCTTCGTTGAAATTTGAACAATAAGATTTTCCTTTGTATGATTGCAGGGTTCTGCTCTTCTTTGGTACAATTTTCATGAAAACGGTACAGCAAATGAAGTTACCAGGCATGCGGATTGTCCTGTTTTGGTTGGCTCTAAGTGGGGTAAAATTGTTATTTTTTCTATTTAAACTAGATTGATAGTTTGAATTTTAAATTCATTAAACATTTGATCAGTTGAAATAGCAAGCATTGCTGCTAATAAAATAGAAATATTTACAGACAAAATTTTTAAACAGCTTTAGAATAAAGTTGCGGAAATATTTTAATCCAAGAGGAATTAAATTAGTGTAATAGCGGTTTTTTTAATGCCCGGCTTATAAATAAACTTTTCATTTCCCACTTCATAAAATACTTTAAATTTAAATATAATACATTTACACGCCGTCGACCACATACACATTTATTTAATAGTTTTTACTGCCTATATAGTATTTACAACAGAAGTAACTTATAAATAGCTCCAAATTTTCTATTAAACTCAGTATAGTAAATACAGCATTTAATTTAACAATTATCCATAATTTAACCATATCTTTCTAGTAATATTATGTTAAAATATTTGTTGGGTTGATATTGATTCATAAAAGGAAATTCATTTAGCTTATTACCAAAAGTTAGTTTGATTATTTAAAACTATTTTTGTGGGTAGGAGAATCTTTACGCTTTTTCACATTTATATAAACATTGGATTAAAATGAATCCATTCCATCTGTTATTTCTCTTAACATGAGACACAAAACATATATTAACGCAGCGGACTGTTATTTTATTTGCACATTGAATTCACACACTTGCCTCTTTCGAGGTTNAGTATAGTAAATACAGCATTTAATTTAACAATTATCCATAATTTAACCATATCCTTCTGGTAATATTATGTTAAAATATTTGTTGGGTTGATATTGATCCATAAAAGGAAATTCATTTAGCTTATTACCAAAAGTTAGTTTGATTATTTAAAACCATTTTTGTGGGTAGGAGAATCTTTACGCTTTCCCACAATTATGTAAACATTGGTTTAAAATATATCCATTCCATCGATATTGAAAAATTAATAAAGTTTATGTTATCGACACTATAAAAGTGGTGAAATCGGATAGTGGAAAAATTTATAGGTTTGCGCTTAATACTTTTACAGGATTGCTTTATAAATGAAGAAGTATTTTGCCGGAACCTTGCCTATTTCTATCAACCCTAAAGAGGAAAACATTTATGAAAATAAAATAAAGCTTTTGGGAGCTTTTCGCATTTGAAAGAATTCTTTGAAGAGACAAGGAATCGGTATTCCTGGATAAGCATAAGCTTAAATTTGCTTCAACGTAAATATTAAAAATATTGAATTTAGTATTGAATTTTAAATTTCTCCGTCTCTTAAGAACTGCCTCCAATAAATGTTTTTAAATTCATATTGTTTCACACTCCTATAATTGTTCTTCTTTTATTTTCAGTTGCAAGCAAACGGCTCTATGCTCATGGCAATGAATTTATTCGAAAATTTTCTACGAATCAACTTGAATGATGTTTTTTTATTTTTTTATCTAGTAGGAAATTTTCCCTCCATAAACGATGTCCTCACTTCTTATCAATATTTCAATTCCTTATTTTTTTCCCTTCCTTGTTACTAATCTTCACAATTGATCAGATCTCTTACTATATCTTACTATATATATAGTCTTACTCTAGACTATATTACATTTGCAAATATACGTAATACTTATGAGCATACCAACAATAATCACCGCGCGTGTATTTATTTTTAAATTGAAGCGAGGGAAAGACAATGCAAATAAATTGTATAAAATTAAATTATCTGCTGTATTATAAATGTTACTATTCGAAACAAATATGCATGTTGTCAAACTTCTTGATATCCAATTCCACCCCTCTACTCATAGATTAAACTAACCCTCCCTACCTTCGAAGCGGGACATCATTTGTGGACAGTCCCTAACATTATTTCGTCATCCATTAATAAATAAAACTGATTCATCCATAAAATGAGTTTTGTATTCTTAAATACATCTCTACAAGCTAGTGTGACACTAAAATGTTGCAAATTATTTGATAAAAATTATAATGATTATATGCAAATAAATGTAACGAACTTAACAAGAGTATAGTTCCTTTTTTTAAATGTATCGCTAATGCTTTTAGATAATTTGACTCACTCCAATATCTCGAAGTATTAGATTAAATTTTAATTTTTTTCTCTTTTATTTGTTTATTTATCTTTTTTTTCTCTTTAAAAAATTTCGATTATAGAGCATTATTTCACTACACAAAATATTTAATTTTTTTTTTTTATTAAATGAAAAGTTTGCAGGTAATATTGGGAGAAATAGCGAGAGATAACTTAGCAACATGGTAACAATTCTCTTTTTCTCAAATTATTAAGGCAATAAAAATTTTTGTTAGTTATTTTGAACTGTAATTTTATACTGTGCAATATAAACTCTCTATTTTGAACGGTAATTTTATACTGCGCAATATAGACTCTCTATTTTGAACGGTAATTTTATGCTGTACAATATAGACTCTCTATTTTGAACGGTAATTTAATACTGTGCAATATAGACTCTCTATTTTGAACGGCAATTTTATACTGTGTCACTATAAGACTCTCGGATTACTACTTCCGACTGATTTTTACGCCTGAGCTTGAAAAAAACGCGCCATTCAATATTATTATACTTGTAATCTTTTCAATATAACGCGTTCTTTTAATCTATCTTTCAACGAAACAAACAATAAATGAATTTGGAGGACTCCGCAAGCTTACTGTGATACTTCCCAAATTGTAACAAACGGCGTTATTTTGCACAAATATATCCAAATAAGGTAACTTAATTTAATCTGTGATATTAATTTCCTTAAATTCGTTTTAGGGGCTCACGACCCGTTAAAATTTATAAATTACAAAAGACTCTCTTAAAGGGTAAAACTACTCTACATTTAAACGCAAATCCCAATAATAAAACTTCTTAGGAGACTTAACCCCTTGGGGACGGGTGATTCAGAAAAGCATACGTACAAAATCAGAATCAGGATGTAATTAAATAAAAAACGCGGAGGAATACATCGGAAGTTTTCTAAATTTCTTCTTGTTTTAGGAAGCTTGTCATTGCTTACATTCAGTCAACCATCCATTTTTCGAAAACTACTGTTTTCAAACAGAGCTTAGTGCTTCTCACTGGTATTGTAAAAGACAATTTTTTTTTACTTCTTAATGTACAATGTATTTAGTGTTGGTAGATTAAAAGCTTCATTCGCTTCAAAAATATACAAATTGGAAATGACAGTGGACATGTTTCCTGTGCTCAGAAATAGACGCCCATTTTCAAGAGTTGCCAGACCTGATCCAGATATGCCAACTTGCTCCGGAGAGCAAATATATATTTTAAAGTGGTAGTTTATCAATTGTGATTCTTGGCTTTGTAAATTCAATTTAGTAGATTTTTATCCACAGGTCAATACATGAATAGGGGATTAAGAGAAATATCCTTTTGTTCAGAGACTGGGAATGAATTGTTCGGGGCAATGAAAAAACTTAAACGAAATGTGAAAGCTGACACAAAATCAAAAATGGAAGAAAAAAAACATATATAATATGATTTTATTAGGGAGAGGATTTCTCCTCTCAAAGGGTTCAAAAAAATTTTTTTTATATATTAGCTAGATGCCGCAAGTGATTATTTTTTATATATAAATTTCAAACCTCCAATAATTATTCTCTTATGTATTTCTCCGTTAAAGTACTGAGAGTTCCGTCATTCAATCCTAATTCTTCTTGATTTCTTACCGTACGCACACATTAGAGGTAAACAATTTATGGGAAATTTACTTTATATCGTTTTTATTCAATTTTCAAATATTCTATTCCATGAAGCGCATTTCAAATATGAGTATTTTTTTATTGAGTTTTCAAATAGGCATTTTGAAATTTTATACTTTGGACTGAAAAAAAGTTAAACTCAAAAATACGGTCATTTCCAAATTTTACCCCCCCCCCCCCCCCCCCAAANTATTATTTAGAAAATATTTTGACCACAAATTACGGATTAATGTTCATCAACCCTAAAATTAGAAATGGTGAAAAAATAAAACGCCCACAAAATTTTGCCATGTAAAATCAGAGATTTCCGGTAGTGTAGGCGTATTGACAAAACATACCGTAGATTGTAAAGGGGTTGGCGAAAATATCTATCGGCGGGAGGAGAGTCTCGCAAGCGTCTCGCAAATCGCCAAGCAGCTGTGTGCATGAATCACCCGTCCCCAAGGGGTTAATGCTCAATTTAGGTAAAATAGGAGAAAAGTAACGCCTACTCTCCAATCTACTACCACCCTCTACTCTACGTAACGCCAACTTATTAATCCCTAAATGAGCTAACGGAATCAAATAATAAGGTAAATAAAATGGCTCAACATCAATAAATTATAAGCAGAAAAAAATTAAGACAATATGAGAACCATAAGCATGCATGACTTTTAGTGAGGCATTTTGTAATTAATGAGATATTTTGTAGAAAATTTTGTAATTTTTGACAAGTTTTTCCTTTTTAAAAAATCCTGTGAATAACATCATCTACCATCTAGTGATTGTGCTTTGCTTGTAGATTTTTATGAAAAATGTACTTGGAAAACAGGACTTGTGGCTTAAGTTCTCATTTGCACTATTGCTTTAAATACCATTAAATAACAAAATAAAATATTTAAATCTACCAGTTTTTTATAAATAAAATAGTTTTCTAATTTTTTCAAATCTTATTTTAGTTAAAAAAGGGTATCTGCCTGCTAAATGGCACACAGTTCCAACGGAGCTGTGCAGAATCGCTAGCAAGAGATTCTGGGTACGTAATTTTTGGGTCTTGAGGCAGCTGGTAGCCATTTGCTCTGGCGCCTCATAATAATTAATATATAGAATGGATTAAGCTTGTCACTTTCATGTTTAAAGCATTTGCTGGAAGTAAAAAACTTCGAGCGAAGCTACTTTTCAGTCACTGTAACAGAAATGCTAATTGTTGAAAAGTTTTAATAAAGTGATAACGAATTAATTAGTATACCTTGTAAAATAAACATAGTTACGCCTACTTTAAATAACAGAAACCAAATAATTAATGCTTTTACGTTGCATGTTATATGATTTTTCATATTTAGTGGTGGAAAAAATATTAAACTAAAAGTAACTTAAATTTCGTTTCCGCTGGAAAATACTATTTCGCAAAGCGGAGCAAGTTAGCATCTCTAATGTTACTTCTGCTACTGGAACCCAAAAGTGACTGTGATTATTTCGATATAGATTTAATCGATATTTTCTATTAATTAATTGATGCAATTTATCAAAATTTTATATAAACTAATATTCATGAAATTCTTCATAGCTTTTCAATATTTTATGAAAATTTTTCTTCTTTATGAGAGAAAAGAATGCATGATATGAAAACAAAAATTCATAAAAAAAATTTTTGTTGTTACGATTAGGAATTTCGACATTTCCATAATTTTGCGTTTATTTTATCTTGGGCTGGTAGCATTAATTTCATATACCAGGATCTGCTGTAATAACCAACAGATGGCGCCACTTAACATTTTCTTTTAAATTTTGCTGTTTGGAAGGGGGAGAAAAACACTTTTCCTTAGTTTTATTAATTGATATAAAAAATTTAACTGCCTTATGCAATAGTTATTCATGTTTATTTCATTAAATTACAATAAATCAATATGTTTGTTTGGCATGCATAAATGTGTGATTAAGAATCTATGAGTAATGATTGAACTGTATTGTAGACGAATGCCCTAGAGCAGTGTTTCCCAAACTTATGACTTTTGTGTACCACTAATAAAAAAAATTATGTATTTTTTACTATAAAAAATTGCACAAAAGTAAAAAATTGCAACTGGCTGTTGGCCCCACTAATTATTAACTGCTAACTCTGCAAAAAATAGCCAATAGAAAAATACGTAATCGTAAATTTTCATGGATAACTTTGTTTTTAAATAAAATTTTTTGAAATTTTCGTTTGTTGCAAGATATTTCGCATAAGAACGCGTACCCCCGCTAATCTGTTCCCGTACCCCTGGGGGTGCGCGTACTACACTTTTTGAAACACTGCCTAGAATTCAAAACCAAAAAAAGTGACATCAAAAACAAATTATCTCCAAAGCACCAAAACTTAACTGAATATTTTGGCTTTTTTCGTTGCCATGGCTTTCACATCGATCTTGGACTTTCTCCCTACAAAATAGGCGACAACGTAATTTCTTTTTTTAAAGATTATTATTTAAAAAAAATTACTTAAGATTTCAATGACTTTTTAACGAAAATTATAGAAATAAATAATAGGAAATATTGTATGCAATAATTTATGTCTCTTTCGCAGAAGTGCTTGAAGTTGATTTTTTAAAGTTTCATTAATTTAATGGTTGTGACAAAATTCGCTTTAATTGTTTATTCAGTTATCTGCATAGAACAGTTTTTCATAAGTTATTCTCCTCGAGAAAATATTTTTCTTATTGAAATACATTTTTAATAGTGCTGCTGTTACTTTTCCTGATTTTTTTCTGAGTTATATCTGAAAATGTCAAAAATAGATGGCGCTGCTACTTATTAAAAAACGACAATTTGGTTTCTGTGGTTATTATACAATTTCGTCCTAGTCATACTATTTTACTGCATCAAATAGATATTGCTGAATACCAGCAATTATAAACATAATAACTTACATGAAAAACCTGACATTTATGCGAAAAGATATATTAAATAGAGAAATTAAATATAAAATGGATATGGAATGGGATTTATTTATTTAAAAACTTTTAGTTTTATCATTTTAAAACTAAATTTTTTATAATCAAGTATTTAATTCTTCAATAAAGATTTTTAAATTTGCAACATTGACAACAGTTTGAATGAAATCACTTATTACTTCTTAAACTATTGGTGAAAGCTCTTAAAAGCAAAAAATAATAATAATAATAATAAAATAATAATAATAATTTATATTTTTTTTAAGAGACACAAATGGCATAACTTTTATTGTGATGCTTTTGAAACATTGAATGAAAAATTATTAACTTAAAAGCCAAAAATACTATCAACTTAAAAACAATCAACTTATATACTTAAAAATCAATTATTTCGACTTGAGTTTTTTAAAAAATATATTTTGAATGTAAGGTGTTCTTAAGAGGGATGTATCCTGAGTCCCATAGGGTACGGACGCATTTCGAACTAAACAGGATAAAAATGGAATAAAGATAAAAAAGAAAACAAAAAATAAGTTTATTTTTCTTACAAATCATTTATCAAAATACGGCCGAATATATTTTTTCGGATTCTGCCTGCATGTATACTACGCCAGTCAAGAAAACCTATTCACGCAAAATAAAAGGAAAATTTAATTTCCTTTACAACCTTTCTTGTTGTACTAGAAAAATGTATTACAACTTTTAAAAATAAATAAATAAAAATAAAGAAACCATTTTATACAGTTTTCACTAATTTGTATCTCATTATTTTATTCCTTATTTAAGCATAAGTACAAAAAAAGAAACGAAACAAAAGTTTAATATTGCTTCAATGAACCAATTGTAAAGAAAAATGCTTATTGTTTGCTAAATGAT